GCCTTCATTAGTATTCGATGGCAGCACTCAGAAGGAGACAATTCTTCAGCCAAACTCTGTCATCAAAATTCAGAAAAACAATATCTTAATAAGAAAGTCAAGGTTTGAGTCAAATCTTCAATAAGTCCGCGATTCATAAATAATTTTTGTGTCGATCTTTAGGCATTCATTTAAAGTCAGTTGTCATATGAACTTGCAAAATTATCCAATGGATAGGCATATATGTCATTACAATATTCGCACCTGTAGGTTTATCAATTGTGTGATTAACATCGATTACATATTTTTATTTTGTTATTTGCATTCAGTTTCAGAGCCCATAGAAAGAGTGAGTTTGTATTGGATTGAAAACAACTCGAGTCCGATTGACTTTTTCGATTCCCACCAAAACAAGAGTGTTATCTATAAGAATGAATTCACGCCATCATTATTTGACATAAAGATTGGCAATTATGAGAGAAATATAATCAAATGGTTTAACGAGAACTACACGGTTTTGGACCTGGAGTTCATATTCGAGAGAACCATAACTGCAAATGTATTAACGGTTTACATTCCCAGCTCTTTGGTGGTGACCCTTTCGTGGATACAATTCTGGTTCGATGTCGAAGCGGTTCCCGGAAGAATGTCTTTGGGTATGTAATGATAGTTGAATATCTAATCAAATATTCAAATAATACCCAAATGTCAGGAATCATGTCGACCCTCACTATAATGACACAAATCCTGACAAATTACGAGAAGGCGGCCAATCATGTGACAGCTGTTGATATCTGGCTCCTGGTCTGTCTTATTATGGTATTCCTGGCACTCATGGAGTATGCATTCGCGTACACTATATCTCATTACTACGACATCGACGGTAATATCAAGGCTAAGAACTCATTCAAGAAGAATATGAGTTTAATATTACGTGAATTTCGCTCAAATAAACTCAAATCCAATTTGAGTCAAAAAGCCGTCGAAGAAAATAATTTATTCAAAAGAGTGACCGAAAATGAAAACAAAGAAAATTCTGACGACAGGATCAGATCTATGCCCGAGTTGTCTGAAGTTCTTCATTGTCTCATTAAATCGTTTAATGAAATGAATATTAAATTAGAGGCCAATTGTAAGTGCAATCGACACCTGAATTTAGTCGACTATATTAGTAGATATGTATTTCCAATTGTTTTTGTTTTATTTGCATTAATTTATTGGATTTTATTAATACATTTTTATGACACTTCTTAGCGAGTATTTCAGATGTAAACACATATTCTTG